GGGCTCCTCCAGGAGAGTGAATTTCCTCTCCCCTTTCCTTGTTCCCTTTGCTCTCCTCGCTGCCGCCGTCTTTCCTTCCTGCAGTGACCATTCACTGAGCAGTGTGTTGGTGACCAGTTGTCGGGTAACAAACCTTAGTGGCTAGAAGCAGCTACCACTTATGGGGCACGGTTTTGCAGGCGGCGGGGCTCATCTGAGCAGTTCTTCTGCTCCCCTGGTGTCAGCTGAGCCTACTCAACGGGCTGCATTCAACTGGAGGCTTGGTCACACCGCAGGGTCCCACATGGCCTCACGTATGTATCAGGCCGCTGGCGTTGTCGGCTGAGCATCTCGGTTCCCCTCCACGTGGCCTCTCCAGCAGAGTTGCCTGGGCTTCTTCACACGACCTTTGTCTTCCAAGAGGGTGACTCAGATGCTGCAAAGTCTCTTGAGGCCTAGACCCAGAAGTCACAGAGCCTCGCTTCTGCCACAGTCTATCGGTCATAGGCCCGGCGATTCAGGGGTGAGGAGGAATGGATCCCATCTTCGTGGGCAAAGTCATATTGCACAAAGGTGTGTAGGACGGGGGGAGGTGGAGGGCCAGCTTTAGAAACACAAGCACCTACTATGTGCCAGGCATTGTTCTAGGCCCATCCTGGGAATACATAGGGGATTAAAAGAAAGTACAACCCCTGCCCTCCAGGAGCCTATTTTGGTGGGGGAAAATGACAGGAAACAAGAAAAATATATAGTATGGTAGTAAAACTAAAGAGAAATAAATTGGGTCAGGACAGGGAGTGGTGGGTGAGTTGCAAGGTCAGGGGAGGCCTCACTGAGGAGAGACATTTGAGCAAAGGAAACATAGGATGAGCTTTACTGGTAAAGGGAACGGCAGATGCAAAGGCCCTGGGGTGAGGACATGGCTGGTGTGGTTGATGGGGAGTGAGCAGCAGGTGATGAGTCGGAGAGGAGGTGGAGGATCCAGATGGTATAGGGAAGGGGGCGGGCCTCTGTTTGGCATTACTGAGTGAGGTGGAGAACAGGAGATAATTCTTTTTAAATTAAGATACTGTAATTCATAATATAAAACTGACCATTTTAAAGTATATAATTCAGTATGTTTTAGTGTGTTCACTATGTTGTACAAACATCACCATGACCTAATTCCATCACCCAAAAAAGAAACCTGTGACCATTAGCAGTTGTTCCCCAGACCCCCTTCCTCTCATCCCTTGGGAACAGACAACCACTCATACACTTTCTGTCTCTGAGGATTTGCCTCTCTGGACATTCACATCAGAGATTATGCAATACACGACCCTTGTGTCTGCCTTCTGTCGCTCAGCATGTTCTCAGGGTTCACCGTGCTGTGGCGTGTGTCGGGATGTCTTTCCTTTTATTACTGAATATTATTCCATTGTGTGGCTAGACCCCATTTTGTCCATTCATCTGCCGATGGACGTGAGTTATTTCCACTTTTCAGCTAGTATGGATACTGGCCAAGTTTTTGTAACAATGTATGTTTTGGAGATGTTTGGATGAAGGGAGATGTTTTGGATATATAGCTGGATCATCAGGTAACTATATTTAACTTTGTAATTTTTAATTATTGATTTTAGGTGGGGGGTGGGGAGAGAGACATCGGTTTGTTGCTCCACTTATTTATGCATTCATTGGTTGCTTCTGGTACGTGCCCTGACCGGAGATCGAACCTGCAACCTCGGTGCATCGAGACAATGCTCTAACCAGCCGAGCCCCCCGGCCAGGGTCTCTGTGTAACCTTTCGAGGGGCTGCCAGCCTGGTTCCCAAAGCTGCTGCCCAGTGTCACGGCCCCACCAGCAGGCTAAGAGGGTTCCACTTGCTCCATGTCCTCCCAACGCTTCCTGTTTCCCTTTTCTGTGCCCGTAGCCATCCGGGGGCTGCGGTGGAAGATTTGGAGCTGAGGAGGGCGTTGGTTTTAACAGGATCTTTCGGGGGAGTAGACTGAAGGGGAGCAAAAGAGGAAGCGGGGGCCAGTGAGCAAGCTTCTGCACTGGTCCCAGCAAGAGAGGACAGTACCTTGCACCAGGGCGGTGGCAAGGGAGGTGGGGAGAAGTCGGATTGGGGATACATTTTTAGGGCAGAACCGAGAGAACGCGTGTTCAGGTGGATGGGATGAGGGTTGAGAAAGAACAATGCGTCGAGGACGCTCCCAGGTATCTGGCCGGGCAACTGGACAACGGTGTTTCCATTTGTTGAGTTGGAGAAGACATGGGTGGAGGGTCTTTTTGTGTTTTCTTATGCCAGTCACTTAGTGGGCAGGGGCCAGCCCCCCACCCCCTTTTTTCTGCCAGCCCAGCTGGGAAGTTTTGATTGGCAGTTTGGGAGGGGGGGGGGTGTGGAAGAAGAAAGCAAACACTATAATTCACACATGTTTAAAAAAAAATGTCCACTGGCCAAGCCCTGAATGTTACTTAAAATGAGCCATTTGTGTCCTTCCCCTCAGAGTGGGACAATTTGTGCCCAGGGAGTCACAAAGGACGCTGAGGCCATTCATTTTGATGATGGGCTGGTTAAAAGGGTGTGTGGGCTGCAGCCTGCAGGCCTCTGGGTTCTGAGGCCACTTAGGGGATTATCTAGAGGGAAAATTGTCCCGGGAATGATTTGTGGGCATGGCGGGGCGCTAATCCTGAGCTCCTTCCTGTGGGTCAGGAATGTCTTTGGGCTCGTTCCTCCCTCAGCCCACCAGTCAGCAAACACTTCCTGGGGTTTCTCCTGCTTGGGGGTGCTGCCCTAAGTACCAGGAGGGAGGTGGGGGGCACTGCAGCTGACAGGTAGCAGTAAAGGGGACACAGTGTCTCCTCCCCCAGGAGCATCTCGGTGGTTACAGTCATCAGCTCTGCAGTCAGAGTGCTCAGGGCCAAATCTGGCTTCTGTATTTATGAGCTGTGTGACCTTGAGCAAGTGACTTAAGCTTTCTGGTCCTTTGTTTCTCAGTCCAGCAAAGGGGGAAACTCCAGCACCTACTGTAAGTTCTCCTGAGCCTCAAATGAGATCATCCATACCTAGAGATTGGCCCTTGTGTTTATGATCCAGTGAGAGATACAGAAAGCATCCACTTATGGTGCACCTACTGTGTGCTGTTAGAGGTGTGCCGTTAGAGGACTCAGCCACATGCAGTGTGTCAGGGCAGCTTCCTAACAGACCCCGGGGGAGCCAACTAAAATGCAGAGGGTGAGCCCTTGGGTTAAGGTCACAGGGCCTGGCAAAAGAGAAGACGGGATTTGAACCCAGGACCAACTAACCTCCCTTCTGCACATGTCAGGGTGGGCTGAGGTGTGCTTCCCACAAGCAAGACCATCAGGCCCATCTTGGGAAGGAGGCAGCCCGTCCAGCTGAGCAGGTCTCGTGTACCGTGCTCTGCAGGGCGTCGCCAGCACCCACCTGTGCCCGGCTCCCCCTCTGTCCTCGTTCTCTGCATCAGAAGGAACAACCCACCCTCTCCCACCTTCCTTCTCCCTTAGAACATTCAAGACTTTTTTTTTTGCCATGATTTCACTTGGAGGGAGAGCTTCCCGTGTGTGTCCCAGTCGCCCCTCCGCTGAGGTTGCCTTGCCCCGTCAGCCTCCCCCGTTCAGGCCCAGAAATAGTCCCAGCTGTGAGATGAAGGTTCCAGAGCTTAAAACTGCAACCGGGTCCTATTTATACTCCAGCCGGAAAGATGTTTTTTGCACAGTGGTTTATTTTGTTGTGGTGACGACGGCGCACACTGCAAGCCGCCGGCTCAGGCACTGTGTAAACATTTCTCGGGGACAAGTGGGTGGCGAGGAGCCTTCAGGTGTGGGGGGCGGTGCCAGGCCTGCCCAGAAATGTCTGGTGTCGCCTCCCTAGAACAGGATGGTCTGGCCTGGGAGGCCAGAGCATGAGGCTCCCAGCTGCCTGGTAGTTAACACACCGACCACGCAGGGGTTCATACGCCGTGGGAGCTGTACCTACTCGAGGGGGGAAAGGTTCAAGCCAATTTTGACACAAGTGCTGAAATCCGGGTTACAAGTTGGCAGACCCTCACACGTCCGTGTTTAGCTTGGCCCGTGGAGCGTGAAAAAAAAATGGTTTTTTGAATTGGTGCCACTATTTAAAAATTGGGACATTTCCCATAAAATGAGAATCTCTGGCCTCTCTGGAAAAATGAAAGGGATCTGGTCCCCCTGGGCCTGCTTCCTGGGGCTGCTCGGGGCTGGCTGCTCAGCACTTGGAGGTCACCGCGAGACCCAGGGGCGTGCCGCCGCCCATTCGCCTCACTGCCTGGCCCTGGACCCTTCAGACAGCAGGGAACCTCCTCGTCTCCCTCGTCAGATGCCCCAGCCCCTCCGCTCCAGGCCGCAGTAAGCCCCGTGAATAGGGTCTCCAGCGAAACCACAGGTGCCCAGTGAGCATGTGAATTTCAGGTACACAGTGAAGAGTATTTTAGCTGAGCATGTCCCCTAGCTCTTCCCAGTTTGGTCCAGTCACCGCAGGCCCCTGTCCGTTGGCCACACACACATCTTGGTGTCGGCACGTGGTTCAGTGTACAGTCTGCATCTTGCACAAATCATGTTTCCTCTCTGGGGTGTTTCTTGGGGCGTTTCTCAGAGTTTGTAAGAGCTCGCGTTGAAGCTGCGTGAGGATCCTGGACCGCCACGGGCTAGCTGTGTGGCCTTGAGCGGGTTCCCTCCTCGCTCCGAGCCTCAGTTTCCTCATCTGAGCAGCAAGGAGGATAAGGGTGGCTTTGTTGTGTCCTGTTGGCGTTCACGGCGTCTCTTCGCAAAGCCGCGTCGAGTGGCTGGTCCGTGGCGGCCAGTGCTCAGGTGTCCAGGTCGCGGCCAGCTCGTCGCTCTTGCAGACGGGGCTGGAGGGGTTTGCAGAGGAAAGGAGGTCTAGCAGGAACTGGGCAGATAATCCTGAGATTGCGTTTGCCTTTTTTTTTTTTTTTTTTTTAGATGAAGGGCATTTGTCTCCCTGGAAACCACTTGCTAATCTCCGGGATGTTGTCTCTTTTCAGGCGAAGGAGGTGGAGGAGGCCATCGAGGAGATGCTCCTCAGGCTGCAGGAGTTCTGCTGCCTGGCTGACACGGTGAGCCTGCCTGGGAGGGGCATCTAGACCCAGCCGGACGCCAGGCCTCCTGGGGTTTTCCTGGGAGGCCATTTGGGTGGTGAGTTAGCAACCAGAGGGAGTGGGGCAGCGGCCGGCGGTGGGAGGGACCCCCTCCCCCCCACTTGGTCACACGCTCCACACCAAGGCGTCCTGGGGCGGCCATCTTGCTAGCGTCCTTCCCCCAGATGGCTTTCTTGCACGGAGGAGCCGGGAGCGGGCCACCAGGTGGCACTCTCGGCACCGACGCGCGTTCAGTGGGGATGCTGACTATATTTAACTCTCCTCGGTGCAGGCCCCAGGCAGACATGGAGACGGCAGGAAATGGCTGCAGGCCGGCCAGGCCCAGCGGGAGCCCTGGCCCAGGCCCTGCCCGTGGTGGCAGTGGCGTCCCTCCCACATCCTTTTGCCCTCCACTCTGCCTCCTACCCTGCTTGTTGTTTTTTGGATCAGATCCCCCGGGCTGGGTGGGGAAGACCATGGAGGATGGTGCCTTGGGCCCAGAAGACAACATCTCCACTCCAGGTTCTCTAGAAATTTCTTCTAGATCCTCTGGCTGGACTTCTGCCAGCCCGTTGTGAGGCCTCAAGGAACAATGGTAGAATTTTCTGGAAATCCCCAAGAGCCAGATGTGGAGGCTTCTCGCAGGAAGGCCAAAGGGTAGAGCTCCGTGTTATGACCAGGTCCTGCCTCTTCCTAGAGCCGGGGACGCCCAGCGGGCCCAGGGGTGTAGGTCGTGCCCCCGGGAAGCCGGGCCTGCAGAGTCCGTGGGAGCCCACGGGGGTGACAGTCGCGGCAGCCCCAGGTGGTCACTGAGCCTGCTTTGTGCCAGGCACCCTATGAAGTGATTCCCCTGAATCTCGTCTCTCCCAGAAGCAACCTAACGCGATGGGCACCGTGTCACCCCCGTTCATTCAACAGACCCTGTTCAGTGCCAAGCTTGGGGACACAGCAGTGAACAGACAGAAGCGTCCCCTGAGGACCTGGTGTTTCTCAGGAGCTGGTGTTTTAGTTCAGGTGGGGGTGCTGACGGGAGCTGGGTGGTGAGGCAGACTGAGTGGCCTCGGCCGTCCTTTCCACCCCCCGACGTGGACCCTTCTCCGACCGGGTCCTGTGTGAGTCGGAGGGTGCGGAGCTGGATCTGCTCTGTCCCCCTTGAGCCCCGGACAGGCGGGGAGCCCGCTTTGTGCTGCCGTCCCTGTCATTCAGCGTGGAGATGCTGTCATGACCATGGGCTCGGGGGCAAAGGGAGGCCACAGAGGCTGTGCCAAGAGGAAGGAGCTGAGGAGGGACTGGGCACGTCGCCCTGGGACAGCTTCGACCAATGGAGAAGGAGCAGAGGCATGGCGTTCTCCTGGGCGAGGGAGGCTTGTCGAGTAGGTGCGGGTTCACTCGGGGGTCGAAGGAACCGCAGAAAGAGTTCAGCTGCCCGAGAGGACAGGCGTCCAGGCAGAGGGGCTGGCCCAGGGGTGTGGTGTGCCGGGCACAGCACGGACAGTGGGGGCCCCCGGGGGGGCGGATTTGGAAGATGGTGTAGACTGGTGACCCAGGGACATTTTTGTTGACAAGTCTTAGCCCATCCCCTTCCTGGGAAGAGAGACGCCCTGTCGATCCAGGAGGACAGCTTGGGGTGGGGGCAGCTTGGACAGGTGGAGAGGAGCCCAGACCACACTTGCCTTGAAAACCCCCAGGGCTTCTTGTGTGGGGAAGTCAGTGTCTGGGTCACCAGGAGGCCCAAGATGGCAGGCTGCCCGGGAAGGCCCTCTCTGAACTCAAAGCCTGGAGGGGCATCTATGCGAAGATATATATAGTTTTAAATAGTTTTTCTTTATTGATTTTAGAGAGAGAGGAAGGGAGAGGGAGAGATAGAAACATGCCCCCCACTGGGGATCAGGCCCACAACCTGGGCATGTGCCCTGACCAGGAATCGAACCAGCAACCTCTTGGTGCATGGGTCGATGCTCAACCACTGAGCCACACCACCGGGCCATCTATACAAAGATTTAATACAGAGGCCGCTCACAGGTGACTCACAGGCCCAGTACATCCATCATCTGTTCGTGTTTTTTTTTCTTTATTGATTTTAGAAAGAGAGGAAAGGAGAGAGAGATAGAAACATCGATGAGAGAGAACATCGATTGGCTGCCTCCAGCATGCCCCCCACTGGGGATCAGGCCCACAACCTGGGCATGTGCCCTGACCAAGAATCAAACCGGCAACCTCTTGGTGCATGGGTCGACGCTCAACCACTGAGCCACACTGGCCAGGCTGCTTGTGTGTTTTAAGGGGGAGTATGTCTCTATACTTTGGGCCCTACTGAAAGTGGGCAAATAAAACCTGACCAAGAGGGCCCCTGTTTCAAGAAACGGAAGAGAGTGCACTCCTGTGGACATACAAACTATTTTGGTGTGTTTATGTGCAAACGTGTGTGTACATTGATAGAATGTGCCTAGTGTGCACTTTTGTGGCCCCTGGAGGTGTTTTGAGTGTGCAGTCTCTACATCCATGCTCTGTGCTGGTGCTGTTTAGATTAGGGGTCCTCTGGGCCCCCCAGCTAATGATCACTGGTGGGTCTGCATCCAGGTGTTGATAGCTCCACGGCACAGAGGTGTCCAGCCCTGGCTCCGAGCCCCATTTCTCTCTCCATCTAAGCTGGGGATGAGTGGGGACCTCTGGGGGGCAGGCGATGTCACACCATGGACCACTGTACGGGCCCCTGCCTCGGCTTTTGGAAACACCAATCAACTTAGAGGTCTGAGAGAAGCCACCTCGTTTCTGATAAAATCGGCCTGTTAGAAATGAGAGTCCATCTTCCTGTCTGGTGCATGAACCCCTCTGCCAGCCTGTCCTCAGTCACACTCTGTTACTGGAACGCACTACCCTGTGCCTGGGACCTGTTTTGACCTTAGATGTCGTGCCAGTTGCTGCCACTTCGAGCTTGGAGTCTTCCTACCGTGGGGCCTTGGGTGCAGCTCGTCAGCTCTCGGTACCAGTATTTACTCTAAAATGGAGATAAGGGTTCTGACCATCCCTTGCTACATCCAGTGACCCCAGAACTTAGTGGTGTAAAGCAAAACCCATTTATGATGTGGGCCAGGCAGGACACAGAGGGGATGGCTCATCTGAGCCCCATGACACCTGCTGGGCTGGGGATGGCAAGGTGGTGCCTTCTCTCACTGGTTGGGTGTCTGGGCTGGAAGGAGGGGGAGCTGGGGACTGGTCGGCCTGCCTTTGAGTGTGCAGCCTCCCTGCATGCTAGCTTGGGCTGCCCCATAGCGTGGCGGCCTGGCCCCCAGAGCGAGCATTCCGACAGACAGGAAGCAGAAGATGCTAGTCTGCAGGCTTGCATATGGAAACCGACATCGTGTCACCCCTGTCGTATTTTTGTTGGTGGTGGTAGAGCAGTTGCCTAGCTCACCCAGCTCCAAGGGGAGAGGATGCAGACCCCACCTCTGCCTGGAAGGAACGTAAAGAACTGCGGACACCTTGAACCCCCTACCAGTGGTTTCCATCTGCACAGAGTGATCGTGAGGAATAGATGAGGCAGGGCTATAGGCTTTCCATCCGCTAGCGTGGCCACAATGAGGAGGACCGACAACAGCAAGTGTGGACGAGGAGCTGGAGCCACTGGAAAGCTCATTCATTTGCTGGTGGAAACCGGTTTGGCAGTTTCTTATAGAGTCAAGCGTACACTCACCCTACATCCCAGCCATTCTAGTCCTGTGTAATTACCCGAGAGAAACGAAACCAAGCGCCCACAGGGACTTGAACGCAAGTGTTCACGGCAGCTTTGTTCACGACGCCCCAGCTGGGAACACCCCAGATGTCCGTCGGCAGTAGGAACGGGAGAGGAAGTGGTTGTTCACACACGGCAGCGGCAACGGATGAACCGCCGGGCACAACGGCGCGATGGCTCTCACCAACGTGACATCAGGCGAAAGAAGCCAGACACAGGGGCACGTTCTATGTGGTTCCCTTGGTATGAAGTTCAAAAATAGGCAAAGCTGGCTTATGGTGATGGAAGTCAGAGTGGTCAGCTTTGGGGGGTGTCACACCTGGGCAGAGGCCTGATGGAGCCTTATGGGGTGATGATGTTCTGTGCATTGGTGTGGGTGGTGGTTACACAGACGTAAACACACATGCACATTGATAGGTCTGTCCACTTACGGCTTGGGAACTTGATGTCATTTGCTCTCAATTAAAAATAATTGCCCAGCACGGTGCCTGCTGTGTGCTAAGTGACCACACACAGGAGCTGCCGGGCTTATCGTCCCCGGTATCGGCACCAGAGGGCTGGACACTGACGAGGTTATGTGCAGAAACTGGATTTGTGAAGCCTTCCAACGCGGAGCCTCTGGGGTTGGGGCAGCTTGCCCAGGCCCTCTGAAACCCCGGTGGCCTCAGGCGTACCTTCTGGCAGGGAGCAGACTCTCACTTTGCTCATATAAATGCAGAAAATTTCCTGTTGGCCTCAGCCCAGCAATTGCATTTGGTTCTTCTTCCTGGGGTCCCTGAATCATCTTAGACAGCGTCTTCGCTCTGTGATCACCCCACCTCCACGGCCCAGACTGCTGGGCTCCAGAGACCCGCTCTGGGGAGGCAGGGTTACAGGCTGGGGAAGGGAAGGGTCTGCCAGGCCCCTGACCCAACAAACCTGGCTGGGGGTTCGTCCTGGAGGGGCTCAAAAGCATTGCGTCCTCACTGACGTGTCTTTGCTGTTCTCAGGAACATACAGAACGCGCAAACTCAGATGCCTGGGGTGTGCTGGTGTGTGAGAAAAGAAGTGTGTCGCTTCCCTCTGACGCCCCCTTGACCAGAGAAATGCACACGGACGGGCACCGTGTTGGGGAGACACTAGGGAGTGATGGGGACTGTGGTTAACCAAAGCGGGCAGCTCTCACCCAGCTCTAGCTGATTGTTGCCATGTGGAACTTGACCTCAGTGTGGCCTGGTCTTCAGAAGCCAGAAGTCTAGATTTCTTTTTTTCTTTTTAATTTTCTTTATTGATTTTAGAGAGAGAGGAAGTGAGAGGGAGAGAAAGATAGAAACATCGATGAGAGAGAACATCGATTGGCTGTCTCCTGCATGCCCCCTCTGGGGATCAGGCCCACAACCTGGGCATGTATCCTGACTGGGAATCGAACTGGCCACCTCTTAGTGCTTGGGTCGACGTTCAACCACTGAGCCACACCAGCCGTACCAGAAGTCTAGATTTCTAAGGGACATAGTCTTCATTTTAGATCTTGGCACCTAACTTGGTTGTGCTTTTGTTGATTTCATATGTGTGTGTGTGTGTGTGTGTGTGTTTAAGACATGATGCAGGCTGGTTCCACGTGGACAGACAGAAGAAGCGTGTCTGTGGATCTCTGGTGTTGGGAATTGGCCTCAGACCAGCCTGGAGTGGAGACCCCCATCTCCCACTTTGTAGCTTTGCGATCTGGGACCAGCTTATTCAGTTTTCCTGAGTTTTTCTCAGTTTCATCCACTGTAAAATAAAGTTGAAGATAAAGTAGTTTGTCTTCACGGGTCTGTTTCCCTGAAGATTACCCTCTACTTCCCCCCAGGCTACACCTCTGGGTAGGTGTAGATAGTTCCCAACACCTGCAATCTTGGCTAGAGGGGAAGCACCCGGAGAGGGGCCCCTGGCTCAGCCCACAGACCCTCTGTCCCTCCGGGTCCCTCGGATTTGGAGGAAGGCAGGGGGGAGCCCTGTGAATCTGCTCTCTGCAGCACGCCCTTCTCTTGTAGGTTGCTCAGACTAATTCCTCCCGATTATCACCCCCCCAGCGTGTTTCTTTACAGATTAATAGAAAGAAGAGACTGCATTTGATCCCCTGTGTTCTGACCTGGCCATGAGTTACCTGCTCTGCAGTGCATCACGGTGATTGCTTCTGAGGTTAGCCTTGTTGAGAGGTGGGCTTTCCTCTCGAAATGCGGCCTTAGAGAAGGCAGGGGGGTATCGAGGACTGTTGCCTCTCACGGTAGCGAACGCCGGCGCTGGCGGGAGCCAGGCAGCACGTAGACATGAGCGCAGGGGATGAGGTGAGGCGTTAGGGAGGGGTGGCGACTGGGGAAGCGGAGAGCTCGTGCCCCGTCTAGAGGGAGCAGCCTTCGGCGCCTGGGGAGACGCAGGCCCTCCCTGTGCTGCTGAAGCTGCTGACCCTTAAGAGCAGTTGCACGTCCAGACTTAACTACTTCAGTATTTTTTAAAGTCATGTTTATGTGTTTTGTTGTAGAATAGTTGTAGATTTACAGAGAAGTCCCTGGGGCAGTACAGAGAGCTCCCAGGCCCCCTCGTGCAGTGCCCGCTTTGTCCACGTCTCACCTCACCGCGAACCTCCGCTGAAACTGGAAAACCCGCCCTGGCCGGGGCTGCCCACTCGATGCGATGGCACGGTCCCCTTGCATGTCCCGTTCCCGTCGAAGGGGCCACGTTGCCTTCCGCCGCGGCGTCTCCTCAGCCCCTGCCGCCTCGGACCTTCTTCCCCGGCTCCCTGGACGGGCCGTTCAGAGGGGCACCTGCCAGGCATTCTGTAGAGTCTGAGATGCAGACGACCTCTTCATTGGGTTTGTCTGATGTTGTTCTTGTGGTCAGACGGGGGTTGTGGGTTTCGGGAGAGAATGCCGCAGAGGTGAGGTGCCTTCCTGTCGCATCATCGCGGGCAGGACCCCGGTGACGCCCGCAGGACCCCGGTGGGATGCAGTCTGGGTCCGGTGTCCGCGCCGTGGCACCGCCACACGCCCATCACGCTCGCAGCAGACGGCTGGTGTCTCCTTTATGCTTTGGGTCTCACCCTGAGCTGTTGCTGCCAGCCTTCGCTTTGTGAACGTCGTCCTTCCTGGCGCCACGGGACGGATGCTCCAGACTCTCCGTTCTTCCACCCTGCCCTGGGACCGGCCATTTCTCCCAGGAGCCCCATTGGAATGTTAAAGTCGGAAATGAAATAAAGTTTAAAAACTAAAACAGCTCAGCTGGTTGGGCATCATCCCATGTACCGAAAGGTTGCAGGTTCGATTCCCGGTCAGGGCACATGCCTGGGTTGCAGACTCGATCCCTGGTAGGCGGGGGGGGGGGGGGGGGGGCAGTCAGTGTTCGCTCTCACATTGCTGTGTCCCTCTCTCTCCCCCCTCCCTTCCACTCTCTCTCTAAAAAAATCAACGATAATATTCTCAAAAATAACAACAAAAAACTAAGACATTTTGTGAGCTCGGTCAGGTCCATCTGCGGGCATATCCAGACACAGACGATCTCGTTTAGTCCCCAAAGCATTCTTTTGAGAGAAGCACCCGTCCGATCCCCGTTTTACAGATGAGGAAACCGGGGCACAGAGAGGCCAGGACAGGACTGAGGCCAGGCAGCCTGAGCCACGTCCTAGGACGGTCTTCACCCGCCTGGGGCCAGGGCTGGACAGTGGTCTGGGGGCCAGGTGCCCTGGGAGATGGCGGTGCTGTGACCAGAGGAGGGAAGAAGCCGGGACAGGAGTGTGGTTTTGGACATGCAGGGCCGTGGGGCGGCCTCCGAGAAACCCAGGGCGTCCTGCGGGCGGCGGGAACAGAATTCTAGGAGAGCCCCCCGAAGTCTCCTGTACTTAGTACAAAGGGGAGGAGACACAGGTACGGCTTCTGACAACATTTTTACAATGAAAATCGTGTCCTGAGTTGTCCCCGTGTTACTTATCTATTGCTGCCTGACCAATCCCCCCCAACGTAGTGAGCTCAGGAGTTCTTTCATTCGACAGTGTCCGTGGGTCAGGAGTGGGGTGTGGCCCAGCGGGGTCCGTGGGCAGGGGCTCGCAGGCCCGGCAAGGCGGTGGTCTGGGCGGGAGGCAGCCCCTCACGGGCGGCGGGCAAGAAGCCCTCCGTTCTCAGCGGCATGGGCCTCTCCGTCATGGCAACCCGCTTCAGCAAAGCTAGCGACCAGAGGACAGTGAGAAAGAAGGGGAGGGAGAGAGAGATCGGGCATGAACAAGCCAGCAGCAGAGAGGCGCCAGCAAAGTGAGGAGGGTCCTCTGGGAACTCGTCTCGGGAGTGACAGCTCTCGTTGGGCTGGCTCCTGGTCCCGCCCACCGGCACCACTCAGGGCCTGGCCAGCAGGAGGCGGGGATCACTGGGGACCGCGTCCAAAGCTGCCAGCACACACCATTGCAAACACTGCTCAACGTCTTCTCCCAACATTCCCAGGCAGCAAGGGCCCGCATAGTTGCTTCCCTGTCCAGAGAGGTGAAGGCGGGCTCAAAAGGGGCAGTGACTTGTCCAAGGTCACACAGCTCATGGTGGTGTTCATACTCCACTCTGAGTCCCAAGTCTAGCTCCTAGTGGGCCCGCTGGTGTTTCTCTGACTGTCCCCAGACCCCCACTCCAGCATCGCCTTGGAGCCTGGCTGATAACAGCTTGCAGCCGACCCCAGACAAACTAGCCCGGACTCCGACGGGCCTGGGAATCAGGATTTGACTGGCTTTCTGCAGGGGATTCGCATGCTCCCTGGAACCTGACAGCAGAGCACATACTGCCTCTCTGCACGGTACGGACATGATAACTTGGACTTTCTCTCTCATACGCCAACGGTCGGCTTGGTTTTTGGGCTCTGAAGGAAAATGGAGGCTTAAGTGTCCGAGTTCAGTGACCAAGGAAGGGGGTGGCCTCATACAGGTCACAGTCACTTTGGGAATCCTTCCAAGCAGAAGAAACGGAACGTGCACTGAGATGCACGGTGCACGGGAAACGCTCAGTGCAGCGTCTGCACGCAGGAAGTACCCTGATAACTTGTGTTTTTCATTAACATTGTTCGTATTAATGATAAATTTATTAGCATTATTAATTGCAGGACAGTGAAAACGCAACTCACCTCGACTTCAGTTTACGGATTCTTTCCCTTTGCTGCAGTCTATTGGTTCAGAAAGTGAGGACCTGGCCAGGTAGCTCAGTTGGTTAGAGCGTCGTCCCGATATGCCAAGGTTGTGGGTTCGATCCCTGGTCAGGGCACACAAAAGAATCAACCGATGAATGCATAAATAAATGGAACAACAAATCACCGTCTCTCTTTCTCTCTCCCTTCCTCTCTCTCTCTAAAACCAATCAATCAAGAAACTAATTAATTTTAAAAGAAAATGATATTTTGTTTGGGATTAATGTTGTTGGTTGGTTGGGGGGAAAGCAGTCTGTGGTTCAGCAAATCATAGCTGGGTAGGTCTGAGTCCTGAGAGGTGTTGGTCCCTCCCTGGGTCTCTGGGTTGATCTTGGGCCTGCCCCTGGCCAGGATGCCGCTCAGTGCTTGGCCATTAGCAAGGTCTCTGCAGTCCCTGGCTCCCGGAGGGAGGTGGGAGGAGGCAGGCAGAGGATGAGCCGTGACCGGGCAGAGGGCCTCACGAGCTGTTTGGTTCCTTGCAGATCAGAAGGGACACTTCGCAGATCTTGGAGGAAAACATCCCTCTCCTTAAAACCAAGGTGATGGAAATGCGTGGCATCTACACCAGGGTGGACCAGCTGGAGGTGTGTCCGGGAAAATGAGCTTTCTCTGTGAGACTCGTGGGCTTGTTCTAGCTCTTTCATCCTGTCTTCTGGGATCCGGATTTGGCCTTGAGAGAGTCAGGCATCAGCCCTAGCACAGGGAATTGGGTCCTACGCTCACGTGGTGTTTAAAAAACATGACAAATGTGTATTTATATAAAGCACCCTATTTAAAAATTGGGGTTCTTTCTATAAAAATCTGAATGTTAAGCTGCTTTTGAAAATTTAGAAGCTTTGGTAACCTTGGACCCACATTTCTTTAAATACATTCATTTATTTATTGTTCAAGGTATAAATATATAAAATGCACCCATCTAAGTGCACAATTCCATGAATTTTTACAAATATAAGGCCACACGTGACCCAGGTTGAAAAATGGGACATTTCCAACCCCTGAGCTGAATTGTAGAGCTGCTGGCAGCTGCCCTTCAGATGAGTCATGTAATCCCTAGTTCACCGCAGTCCCCACTGTGCCCTATTGCCTCACTGCCGCCTTCTCTCCCCCGTCTGTTGCCTGTGTGGGCTGAGCTGCATGGCATCTCATTTTCCTCCTTGCTGTACCACACAGTTGTCACCCTCCCCGTCCCATCTTCCAGAGGAGGAACATAGGCTCTGAGATGTAAGCCACTTACACAGAGTCACACAGCTGATTCTGTGAAGCTGGGACTCAACTTCCATCCACTGGGGCCTAAGGTCCTGAGTGACTGTGGCCCTCAGCTCGGGATCTGGGCTCCTGGCACAGAGAAGGACACACAGGCTGGGAGGGGCCTGCAGTGGTCACCTGGACGGAGAGGGTGTGGCCCCTCCGAGCTGCAGAGGAGAGCGTGGAGTCAGCACTGGAGTGAGCAGAAAATTAACATTCTTGTCAGCACAGAATGAGGCAGGAATATAATTAAAACTTTGCCCTTGGAATAGCTGATTCATTTGCATTTTATTCCACACACTGGAAAGGGGAAAAAAACGTGGAGATTTGCAGCCCTGGTTCTTCTTGCCTGGGTTAGCCCAGCTCTCAAGCCCGATTCTCTCCTTGGCCTTCGGTTCGCTAACATGTATTGCGGACCTACTGTGCGCCACTCACAGTGAGAAAGACAGGTGCGGTCCACGCCACGTTCTAGCAGGAGACACTGGACAGCAAAGCGTCGCCTTCGCTTCCCATTGCCACAGTAACACCACCTCAGCTCAGTGGCTTAGAACGTGAATCTATCAACGTATAGCTCCTGCGGTCAGAAGTCCAAAATGTGCCTCACAGGCTAAACCTGAGGTGTCCGCGGGTCCCTTCTGGAGACTCTGGGGCAGCCTCCATACCTTTGCCGTTTCCAGCTTCTAGAAGCCGCCCGCATTTCCCAGCTCGTGACCTCTTCCCCGTCTTCAGAGCCCACAGCCTAGTGCCTCCCAGTCTGTCCTGCTCCCCTCTCCTAAGGACCCTGTGCCTACGCGGGGCCCACCTGGAAAGCCAGAGTCACTGTCCCTTTTCAAGGTCCTTCGTCACATCTGCAAAGTCCCTTTTGCTATGTAAAGTAACATGTTCAGAGGTTCCTGGAATGAGGACGTGGACATCTTGGGGCCGTCATTCTGCTGACCACAATTGCCACGGGTGACTTAGAGCGAGGCCAGTGCTGGGGAGGGGAGTGGTGACCGAGGACTGGCATCTGCGGGCCCTGGAGGACGAGCGGGAGGAACAGTGTTGGGTGCGAGGGGTGGGCAGGGGCACAGTCTGACGAAGGCCCAGAGGCCGGAAGGGTCTTGGCTCCGGGGCAGGAGGAGATGGGGACACCAGGAGGATCTTGGGGTGTCCAGATCACAGGGACATGACCAGAGCAGGGCTGGAGAAACTGGGCAGCAGGAGCGCCATTGTCCAGGCCTTGTAGTCCAAGGTCAGGGTTTTGGCCTTTATCCTGAGGAACAGGAACCCAAGGAAAAGACAGGATTGCCCAGTGGTTAGAAGAGCAAATGCTACACAGTCTAGTCTCAGTGCTTTTAAGACTCTGGGCCTGAAATGCTCTGTGGTGGGGGCCGTCCTGTGGGCATAGTAGGACGTTCAGCAGCACCCCCGGCCCCCACCCATGAGATGCCAGTAGTATCTTCCCCGACCCCCACCCTTCACCCCATGTGAAAGCCACAGTGTGTCTGGATGTTGCACATGGCTCCCTGGTGGGGACCTCTGCTCCAGGGTCCTGCTGCCTGCGTTCAGAGCCCGGGGCCCCTCTTCCTAATGTGGACCCCAGCTAATTCTGAGCCTCCAGTTCCCTGTAAATGGGTAACAGCAGTGAGGTTCTCGACCCCAAGTCGTATCTGTGTTTACATTTGCTGAACGCTTCCTCTGGGCTACCCTGAAGTGGGTGCTGGGGACATGGCCAGGTGAGGCTCCCGGACCCTGCTAGCGGCCGGGGGCTTCTGGGTGAGGAATGGGTCAGTAAGACAGGCCACCTGCAGAGGGTGCCCAGGGGCGTGACCTGCCCGCTAAGGCCTGCAGGCGGAGGGGCGCGCCTGGGGAACAGCTGTGCAGAGGCTGGAGGCTGGAAAGAGAAGTCCTCTCCGGCTGCTGTGGGTAGACACAGAGCTTAAGACCGAGGGTAAGGCTGGGCCGTGGGCCAGGCTGACCACACAGGGCCAAGTTGTGGAATTTGGACCCTGTTTTGAGGATGACAGGACTTATCAAAGGGATTATAGTTACTATACTTTTTTTTTCTTCTTTCTGTGAAACTCCAAAATAATTCTTTTTGAAGAGTTCCATTCAGAGGTTCTTTGTATATTTACAAGGTTGTACAGTCATCACCATTATCTAATTCCAGAACATTTTTATCACCCCTAAAGGAAACTTCATATCCATTAGCAATCATTCCCCACCTCCAGGCAGCCACTAATCTGCTCCCTGGATCTATGGATTGACCTATTCTGGACATTTCATTTTATTGGAATCATAAAATATGTGGCCTGTAGTGTCTGGCTTCTTTCACGTAGCATACTGTTTTCAAGGTTCATCCATGCTGTAGCATGTGTCAGAACCGCATCCCTTTTTATGACTAAGTAATATTCCATTGTATGGATATACCACATTTTTAAAAAATCTTTCATCAGTTGATGGATACTTGGGTTGTTTCCACCTTTGGGCAGTAATGAAAAGATGTTTTTTAAGTTTTTATGTGGGTATGTTTTCATTTCTCTGCTGAGCCAAACCAGCCAGGGCAGTGTTTTCATTTCTCATGGGTAAATACCTAGTTGTGGAATTACTGGGTAATACAGTAACTCATTTTAGAAACTGCCAAACTGTTTTCCAAAGGGACCACAGCATTTACTATGAGTTTTATATTTATTTATTTATTTATTTATTTATTTATTTATTTATTTATTTTTATCCTCACCTGAGGACATTTTTCCATTTTTTGTTCAGATAGAGTGGAGGGAGAGAGAGGAGAGAGAGAGAGAGAGAGAGAGAGAGAGAGAGAGAGAGAGAGAAATATCGATGTGAAAGGGATACATCGAGTGGCTGCCACCCACACAACCAACCAACCAGGGACGGGGACAAACTGCAACCGAGGTACGTGCCCCTAGCGGGAACCGAACCCAAGTCTCTCTGGACCGCTGGCTGACGCTCTAACCGCTGAGCCAAACCGGCCAGGGCTTACTGTGAGTTTTGATAGAGACTGCAGACTCAGGTGCCAGTGGGATCCAGGACCGTGCCGAGCAGACCAACCCCAACGGCTGGTGCTGAGAAGCAGCTATACCCTTCAGTGGGTGTGATTCTCCAGGCTGCCCCAGTCTCCACTCTGCCCTAGAGCCTCCTCCCCATTGAGGCTGAGTGGCATTTGCCTTGTATCATCACCTCCCCCCTTCTCGCGCTGTTGTTTTTCTTGAGGAGAGAGATTTTTCTCTCTAACTGGGACTCTATCAAAAGGAGGAAAAACTAATCTAGCCCAAGAGAGTCGTGGACTTCGGGGCCATGGGAGAAGACAGATCCCCCACGATGTGGTGTGACGTCGGAACAAGGAAACTCAGGGCCCTGTGAGGACCTGACTGTGTGCGGAGGCAGAGCTGCCTGGGCCTCAGACCTGCCCCTGGGTATCTCTCTCTTCCTCTTAGGGCCACGTTCCTCCTCTGCACACTGGGGACATGCCATTTGTCACTCAGAGTCATTGTCAGGCTAGCACTGGCACATTCAGGTGCTCAGTGAGGACAAGCCATCATGGTGCTGGTCGCCCACAGGCTGGGAAAGGGATGGATGGATGCTTGCTACTCACCCAGCTGGCCATGGCCGCGGGCCCCAGGGTCCTCCAGGGAGCCCAGGACACCTTGCTCTCAGATCAGTGCGACCCACTGCCAGGGGGGAGCTTGGGAACCGCGAGGTGACATCTCAGGCCAGACCTGGGCTCTTTCTCAGGTTTAACAGTAAAACTAATGTTTGTGGAGCACCTGCTATGAGCCAGGGACTCTTAGTGCTGCACTTGTGAGAACGGGCTGCACCCTCCCAGCAGCCCAGGAGGAAGGTCGTGTTGTCAGCCCAGTTGTTAGAGAAAACCGCTGAAGCACAGAGAGGCGAAGTGAGTTGCCCAAGGTCACACAGCTGGAGGTGGTGGCTGCAAAAGTGAGCACTCCTGCCTGCTCCCCGGTGCTGACTGTGGACACTCTCTGGACAGGGACCTGCTCCGGAGCTGGGGCCTTTGCCACAAGTGTTCAGATGCATTGGAACTCACAAATGCATTTCAAAACAATGGGCCTTCCTTCCTTCCTTCCTTCCTTCCTTCCTTCCTTCCTTCCTTCCTTCCTTCCTTCCTTCCTTCCTTCCTTCCTTCCTTCCCTCCTTCCTTCCTTCCTCCTTCCCTCCCTCCTCCCTCCCAGGGTGGCTGTGACCGGCTGTCACCCTCTTTCTGGCCCCAGCCCGGTCTGTGTGGATGCAGGGGCGTCTGCCCAGGTGGGTGCAGGCCGGCTGGCCCAGGTTGGGCTCTCCCTGGCCGGTGGCCGGGCTGCCCCACTGGCCGGCAGTGGGAGGCGGGCCGCCTCTGAGCGCACATTCCTCAGCAGGGCCTCGCTCCCCACCAGCCTGGTATTAGCGCAGGGAGCGTAAAATTGGAATCGTCTGGAGGCAGGGACTGCAGGACTTTCTTCTGTTTCACAAGCAGATGTGCTGGCTGAGCATGGCCGCCACGCTGGAGGGCCGGAGCCCTGGTCCGGGAAGCTTCCTGCCGTGGCCCTTTGTCCCCAGCACCCCCCCCCTGCTGTGGCTTGTTCAGCCTTTCAGCCCTTCAGTCCTGCCAGCACCCGGGCGGCCGCAGCACCGTCTTGGGCTCGTCCCGTGCCTTTTGCTAAGGGTGCCTTCATTCGCTCAGGCACGACGCATCCACCCGTTCCTGTGGGTCGTCATGCCTGCGTCTAGTGGAGCCGCCTGGCTGACCAGGCTCTGGTCTTGGCCTGTGAACTCTCATTCTAGAGGAAGGTGGCCTGTGAGTAGACAAGAAGGACGTCAAGTGGGCAAGAAGGGCTCCGAAGACAGGTGGCTCCACTGACGGGCTATGTCAGATCGGGCGGTCAGGGAGGCCTCTGGGGGGGGGGGGTTCTGTCCAGGGCTAGGAAATGAGCAGCATTCATCCCATGGAGAACAGAGAGAAGGGCACTGCTGGAGAGAGCTGGTGCAAAGGCCCTGTGGAGAGTGAGGCCTGGAGACCCAACCTCTCTGAGCCTTGGTTTCCCTGCTCTGTAGAACAGAGGCATCAGTAGGGTCCCTATGGGGAGAGTATGGGAGGACACAGGAGGGGCTTGGCCAAGCCTGTCAGCAATGGAGCTGTTGCTGTTATTGTCAGTATTCCTGAAGGTGGCCTCCTGGCGAAGCAGGCCGGACCTCTCCGGGCCGCAGGTGGCCGTGACTGAGAGTCTGCCTCTTCGCTGGCTGAGGGAGCAGCCAGGAATGTGCTCCGGTCGGGGTGGGGGTGGGGGAGTGGGGGGGCAGCTGTGGCATCCCGGCCCTCCCCTCTCTCCGCCAGGCCTTTGTCAAGATGGTGGGACAGCATGTCTCCTTCCTGGAAGACCACGTGCTACAGGCCGAGCGGGACCACGGGCCCTTCTCACAGGCTCTGCGGAGGTGGAGGTGGCTGGGCTCCAGGGGGCTCCCCTCCTTCAGGAAGGTGAGTATCTGCCCCCTCCCTCCCAGACCCTGGAGTGGGAGAGGGCTCAGGAAATGGGAGGTCAGAGGGCAAGTCTCATTTCTGCAGACAGGAAACGGTGTCTGGCTGGCCCCGTGGAGTGCTGGCCCAGGTGGCTGGGTGTCTGTCCCTCCCTTGCTTTGAGCTTTGAGCTTCATTGCTGTGACTGCTTATTCGTCCACCATTTATTGAGTGCCTGCTGTTTGCTGAGCATGGTGGTCCGTCTGGGATCGCCACAGTGAGCAGAAACAGACCTTGCCCCCCGTCTGTCCTTAGGAACCTGAGGACGTGCTCAGAGCAACACGCAGAATTCAGGTGGGGTCCTCCTTCCCGGGGCACCGGTTGGCCTCCAGCAGACCCGAGGGCCTGGGGACCGGGGAGGGGTATCTAGCCCGTGTGTGGCCTTTGGGACTTGTAAAGGCCTCTCCTCTGACTTCTGCTTTCCTGGGATCCTCCCTGTGACCCCGTAAGGATCACTGTGTCCCTTTTACTGGCGGAGAAACAGGCTGGACTCAACCTTCAGTGTTTACGATTCCACGGGCCGCTGCCCTGGTCCAGGGGGCGCTGGGCAATGTCCAGAGGCGTTTCGGTTGTCAACTGGAGGTGAGGGGTGCTACTGGCATCTAATGGGGAGAAACCAGGGATGCTGTTAAACACCTTATAAAGCCCCCAACAGAGAATTATCTGAATGCCAGGAACGCTGAGCGCGTGAACCCTGCCCTGGGCTGGTTTTGTTCATTACCATGGGTCTGTTCTGAGTGCCTTGCATGTTTTACATGGCATCGATTCTCACACGGTCTTTGGGAAAAGGTCCTGTATCATCATCCCCGTTTTATAGATGAGGAGACGGAGGCTCAGGGAAGCGAAGGGACTTGCCTGAGGCTGCACAGCCTGGTATGACCAGGGTGGATCGCAGCCCTGGTTGGCATGGCCCTGGGGCCTTGCCCTTCACAGGGTAGGCATCTACCCTGCCAGCGCCCTGTCCTGCCCCGGAGGGGTCTCTCACTGTTCTTTGAGGTCTGCCTCTGGGTCCCCCCTCTACCCCTCCGTTCCCCTGTGCCTCCCCTGCCCCCACGTCTCCACGTCGTGTTACCGCCAGGGCGCATATACTGAGTGCTTACAGGTGGCAGGCACTGCGCTAGGCACCTCGTGTGCGTTGACTCTGCCTTTCCCAGTCACCACGCACACAGGGTATTCAGTATCCCCGATAGACGAGGAAGTGGACGTTTGGAAAGCTACAGGGGCTGCAGGCTTGTAGCCCATGGACAGAATTTGGCCCGTGTGAATTCATTTGATTTGTCCAGGCAGTGTTACTTAAGCAGAGTATCTCGGGATGTCTGACAAGGCATTCGCTCTCTCGTCCCTGCCAGAATCGCTCTGCTCCATCTTGTCTTACAGCGGCCTCCCTCCGGGTGAATGAATTGCCCAAGGTCAGTGACAGCGAGGCAGTGGCCTCACACATCTCGTGATCTACAAAACTCACGAGTCCTTCAAAAACCCAAGTTAATCCCACCTCTTCTGAGAAGCCCTCCGGGATTTCCCCTTCCCCAGACAAATGCAGTCTTTTTGCCTTCCAGTGACAATGAAATCAGAAGCTGCTTCCTTCGTCCCCCTCTCCCTGAGTGGCCGGGGGTACCCGAATCCCGCAGTACTCTGCCCCCTGATGCTTCAGAAACATATCGGGGAGGAAGATCGGAGCGGCTGCCCATGGCCTGCTGGGCCCTTGACTGCCGCTCTTTACAGCCTTGTTCTGTGATCCATGCAGGCATCCCCGGGTGGCTGGCACTGGGGTGCCCATTTACAGGCAAAGACCAAGGACTGCAGAGGGAGAGGCACGTGTCCGAGGTCGTGCTGGGGTGGAACTCAGGCCCACGAAGCTCTGAAACTGAGTTTCCGCGCCCGCTCCTGCAGCAGGATCCCACCGGGGTGTGGCTGGGCGTGTCAGGACCTGCACCTTCTCATCTCTGCCAGACTCGGGGGCCCCCAGGCCTACCTGCGGTGACTTGTTTCAGGAAACTTGTCACAGCCCAGAGGTGGTGAGTCATTCTGCACCCCAAGCATATTGATCTTGGCTGCAGGAGGGCTTTGTCTGGGGCAGGCATTGCAGATGAGCGGTGCGTGTGCACTCACACTCACACACGGGCAGACCTGAGGGTCTCCGGGGCTGCACCTGCCCCCAGGGTACAAGCTGAGGGGTGCTTCTAGGATAATGGTCATCATGGCCTCTGTTCAGGGCCGTGACTATGCAGGGAGTTCACATCCCACCTTGTGAGGTAGGTCTGGTCATTGTCCCTATTTTACAGATGGGGAAACTGAGGCAGTGAAGGGTCAAATTGCTTACCCACCCTGAGGGGTGGAGCTGGGGTTCGAGCCTGTGAAGCTGGCCCCAGGCTGGTACCCTGTACTGCTCAGCTCGGCCAGGTCTTTCTGTGCCTGGTGCCGACCACTGGAACTGCTGCTGGGGGTTAGGTCCTCGCAAAAGGCCCAGATGACCCTTCGTTTCTCCCATCTGGGTTTCCCCCAAGCCAGGATTCCACACTGTCCCAAGTCGGCCCCCCAAAGTGCCTTGCAAAGTGGGTGCTGCCGCACCCGCAGAGCGGGCCCCCCCACCCCGCGGTTCGGAGAGGCTGCTCCTCACGGCCCCAGACTCCATCTCCTGCCCCCACCCGCCCTCCGTGGGTCCCGGGTGGAGCCTGGGGTGGGACGGGGACTCTGGAGCCTCACCTGGGGCCATAGGAATGCTGGCAAGGGGTGCTGTCCCTGTGGGGCGAGCCACACCACTGCCCCAGAAGCCTATCCCCAAAGGAAACAGGCCACCCACTACTGCCCCTGTGGCCTTCCCAGAGTCAGAGGAGGGGTGGCAATGGGGAGCCACGGAAGGTTCATGGGAGGGGCTGACTTGGTCAGATTTGCTTCCCCTGAAAAAGTGTCCAGGCCTCGTTCCCTGCCCTGAGCTAAGGCTGACATTCGGGGTCAGCGGTGTCTTGTTGAGACTTGAACACGAGGGCTGAGCAGGAGCTGTGTGCCTCCGGGTTTCAGAGTTCAGTCGTCACAACTGCGCCTGGACCGAGTCCTGTGCCCTGAGCTCATGGCACCCCTCGCATCAGGGGGTCTCGGGGCCCTTGTCCAATCAGAAGAGAGAAAGGAGGCTCCAGGTGAGGGGCCCAGGGGTCCCCAAGACCCCGCCTGAGGGGCGGCTGTCAGCCCAGTGCCTGCACGCAGCGGGCCGGCACATCTGGAGGTCATTTGCAGACGTGAACGTGTGAGATGGAGCTAGAGTCACGTGGGCCAAGGGCCTCAGAAGGGCAGAGGAGGCCACGCCAGGTGTCCCCCCTGGGGCCAGGTCCCAGTCATGGCTCGGTGGCCGCTGTGGGTGTACTGCTGACCGTGCCAGGCCCCCTCCCGGCGCACGTGCCCGGGGCACGGAGCAGCCGCACTGATTTGTTGTAAACCACTGTTTGTTTTCTGCCGAGCCAAAACATCTTGTTCATGAGGTGTCATTTTGATTAATTTCCCGATGGATAGGAGTGCGGTGCTTTCCCAGGAAGGCCGTCTGGCTCGTAGCAAAACCACTTGAGGCCAAGTCCTGACACCCACACAGCCAGGCTGGCGGGGGTTTGTGGCCTGGCCTGGACTTGGGCCTGTCCAGCCCACCTGTTCCCCTGACGGAGACCCACAGGCAATCTAGTAACGAAAATAAGTGTGTCAGGTGTGACACAGGCTGGAGTGGTGGGGACTGTGGTGGATAGCAGAGCCTAGGCCTCACCTAGAGGGGCGGACATGCCCCGCAGCAGCCAGATTTTCCTGTTTTGGAGAAAAAGCTGTACATCTGTTGGCCCCCTCCCCCCCAATGTTAAGCACGGTGGGATAAATCTGTTGCACTCATGTGTCGCACCCAGCGCGCTGGATTTTAGGTGGCTGGTCTGTACCCCTTTGGCCTCACCCCGTCAGAGGCATTGGGGACCGAGAGAGAGTGGAGAGGCAGCCCCTTCACTTCCCTGCACCAACCCCAGCAAGCGCCTTTAGCTTTTAGCAGTAGCATGACGGACAGCCCATGATTTTATTGAGCATCTACTATTGCCCCAACTATTGTAGTTATAGTAAGCTTGTCCATGAAGGGCTTTCTGTGCCTTGTCTCAGCTTCCCATAACAACTCCAGAGATAGATGTTATTCTTCCAGTTCATGAGGAAGGGACCAGAGGCTCAGAGAGGGCTATTCACTTGCCCAGGGTCACACAGCAGACTTGGCAGATCCCGGCCTTGAGCCAGCTTTCACTTTGTTCAGCGTGTTTCTCCCCTCCCTCTGTGATTTTCCCGAAGGCAGGAACTATAGCTTCAGTAGCCAAGGTTGCAAACTGGAGATCTTTAGGCCAAATCTACCCCGTGGACATATTTTTTGGCCAGCTTGATGTATGTATACATTTAATTTGAATTCGTTGCCAGCATTTAAAACAAGTTTCACTTCTGGCTTCTCTTGAAAGAGCAGAGGTCTGGGCCCCTGAGCAGCATCCCTGCCAAGCCATCCTCTGGCCCATCACCCATTCTCAGTTCCTGCCTGTGGGCACTGAGCTTCCTACCAGGTCCAGCACATAGTAGGTGTGCAGTGCATATGAATCAAGGCTGCTCTTTCAGCTCCCAAGGCCCTTGATGGCCTCCCCAGATTTCTTCCAGGCTGTCTCCAGGCAGTGAGAGCGGGATGGAGTGTCCATCCTCCCTCCCTCCCTGCAGCTTGGGCTGCCTCATGGGCTTTCATGGAGGTAATGGAGGCTGTGGGCGGAGCTGCCCTGCCCAGGCCGGCCTGCAGGAGTCCTCAGTGCCAGGTTTGGTGTCTCCTCCCCTCCCCCCTTGGGCTCCCCCAGCTCCCTCCCCACCCCACCCCGCCCAGCCCAGCGAAGAGGGAGGGAGGCTCAGCCCTGCTGGCTGCCTCCCCTTCCTCTGCCCTGTCCCCCTGGAGGGTGACTCCCGGAAGGAGGCAGGCTTGC